AAGCACTTTCCTCACAATAATCCTGGGTGAAATATTGTGCAAGAATGACCACCCCCATTTTGCACATCAGCAAACTGAGGCTCAGAAATGCAAACTGATTTGCCTATGATCTTGTAAGCTTCCATTGTGTTCCATTCCATACACAAGTTAGATTGGCATCCATCTGCGTATGCCATGGATGTTCAGCACAGGTTTATTTGATAAATGAAATCCCAAATCCCCTAGAAGAAAACAGAGTTCTAAGCAGAGTTCAATTTCTGTGTCTGTTTTCCTTACAGATTTGGTGGTTCTGGGTTGCTCAAGTCATCAGTAACTCCTTGAGGGCACCAAGCCCACAATGGTACCTGTAACCACCAGAGACCTGATCCTGTATATAGTTAAAAGTTTATAATACACTTTTATAGAGAGAGAAGCAGAGACATTGGTTTCAGGAGCTCTACTCTTTCCTAGTCTGTAGTTCCAACCTCCATCATCCTCTGATCTTATCTCTTGCTGCATCTATTCCTCTTTTCTACTCTCTGTCTGGGCTAGCCTCAGACACTCTGTCTCCCAACTTTATCTTACTCTCTCCCTTTATAATTGGCACTGCCCACACCAAGCCCAGGCTAGGAATAGGCTCTAGTACATGCCATGTTTATCTGCTGAAGTCATTCTCTTCCTTCAAGGTCCATCTCAGTTGCCATTCACTCCTTAAAGACTTTGTTGACTCACCACTCTTCCTCTATCAGTAAAAAAAAATGGCTTCTCTCTTTTCAATCATTTCCTGAAGCTCTCCTTCACAATTATTTTGCCATCCCAAATCACACGTTTCTTATTTTACATATTTGTTCTTCCTCAAAAAAACAGATGAGACAGTAAGTTTTTTTGACAGCCTGAACTGTGGCATTTTTTTTTATCTTTGTATTCCCGATACAGAGTGTATCACCCTCACACATAATGTTAACTGCATAACTGGGTACTTATTTGTTGAATTGAATTCAATGGGTATGAAGTGAACTGAATGGAGATATTCATTGCTTTTGACTCTATGGAGTTCTCAAAATTCACATTTTTTACTAAGACCAACATAAGAATAATAGCAGAATTATTGAGGAATTTCCTCTAATTTCCCAATCCAATCAACCTGCTTCTCCTCAAAGATTTGAACTTCTGGAGGACCCCTGATGGTCTCTGCTCTGGACTATAAAGATTGTCCAGTACCAAGATCTATGGTTATATCTGGCTCAACCTTGAAATACTCAACAGTAATACAAATCGCCCCAAACACAGGTATCACAATAACTGTCACAAGCAATGTCATGGTTAACAGTAATAGTGTAATTGATCAACCATTCCCAAGTTGACTGAGAAAAAGATGATCCCCAGCCCTGCCACCACAGAGCTAATTGTGTTCATTGCCAGGCTGCTTTGGACCTGAAAGCAAGTAAAAATTCATTAAACAGTCAAGCCATTAACACATGATTATGGAGTTGCCGTTATGTGACCAGTCCTGTTTAAGGCATAAAGATGACCCAACGGCAAAAGGAGTAAGATTCACTTATTGTATGTTTTTTTTTCAACTTCATTCTATGTGCTGTCTTCCTCCATTAAATTATAAACTCTTTGACGACAGGTAGTAAGAAAGGACATAGAGTATAGAACTTAGAATGAGTACCTTGGAAGCTTTGATTGTATGAAAAATACAGATATTTCTACTGTTTGATTCCAAAAACTCTTCTATAATCTTCCTATATTCTCTTTTTCAATCTTTCCCCTCTCCTCATCATCCATTCCCCTGTAGGCTCTTCTCTTGCTGAGACCACAAAGGTCACCTTCCCCTCATTACTAGCCCTTCGTTTGATCTCCATGTGTCCTCTCTCCTCCTACTCCCCTCCCCTACTTTCATGAACCTTCTCATGATGTAGAAGCATTCACCTGTCACCAATTCTATTCCCATTCACCCCTTTCTCCTTGTATATGTTTAGAAACAAGCTTGTTACTGGTCTTTCTGTTGTCACTCGGTGTTGCTGAGTGCATTTTTCACTCCTCCTACATTTCTGTTGTTTCAGATATTCAAGAAGGAAATAATCTTTTCATTTTTGGTTTTTTCTTTTTTAAAAGCTTCAGCTTCTTCTTTATTATTTAACATCTCTCTTTTATCCTATATGGTAAAGCTGAGGTTTGAAGGAGAGATCACCCTGGACTGCGTCCTGAGTTTCAGTGCTCTTTGAAACATATTATTCCATTTCCCCCTCCTTTTTCTAGTGGATGTGGAATAGTATTGAGTTATTTGAATGACCTTTCCTTTGTATCTGGAGATCTTTTTTTCTGATGGTATGAAGAGCTTATCATTTCTGAACTGAATTGCTAAATTTAACCTTTATGTGTTCTGGCATTTGCAACCTAGTTTTTATTTGCTTGCTTGCTTGCTTTTCTTTCTGTTTTTTTGGAGGCGATCAGTGAATGCCTTCAATTGGAATTGCATTTTCTATGTTCAGAAGTTCTTGGGCAGTTCTCTTCTATTATTTTCTTCATTATGGTGGTAAGGGGTTTTTTTTGTTTTATTTTATACATCATGTTCTTCTGGAAGACCTATGAGCTTAAGGTTGTCTCCACTCATCCTGTCTTCAAGATCCATATATATTTGCTTACAGAGTGAATATTTTCCTTTAATATTCTTTTTTTTTTGCTTTTCTTCTAGATTGTCTTTCACCTCTGTGTATTTGCGTTCCCAATCTATTATTCTCTCTTCTGTTTCTTTGCTAAGACTTGCCATTGATGATTCAAGTTTTCTTTCTGCTCATTATTTTTGCTAGGAAATAAAAGCAGGAAGTAAATTCAACTGTCATGATTTTCATTTCTCTTTTATACTATTCAGGAACAGTATGTTGTACTTCTGCTTTCTCAGAATCTATAGGGTCCTCTGTCCCATCAAGTGTTGGTTCATTTTCCTTCATTCTGCAGCATTAATAGATGCCTGAACTTATTTAATAGATCTGGAGGCCCTATTTCTTTTTGTTGTTACTGTTTTTCCTGTTGATTTATCTGTTTATGTTCAAGGTTTTTGAGATTTCATCTTCCTGGAATCTTTGGCACCTTCAGTCTCCTCCCTCCCCCCCCCCTTATTTTCCTTATCAGTCACTTCCTGACTCCGTCTCCTCTAATTGTGGTTTCCTTGAGGGCTGGACCTGAAAGTGTCTCAGCCTTCTCTCACACTGGGCAATTCATTATTCATCAGCCTAGATAACTTTCCCAGATGATTTTAGAATGGACAGAACTGACGCCATCTAGATGCTGTATTCTTCCCTTAAGGTTTGGTGAAGCGCTGCACAGCTTCCTACACACACATATCTTAACTTGGTGACACTCTTTCTGTTCCTTAATTCTCTGCCCTGACGCCAACAGGGCAGAGCTTACTTTCCCTAGTACTAACAATTCAGAGCTTTGCAGTACTAGTGCGTCTTTGGGGTTGCAGCACTGAGCAGGCTTTTTGCTCCTGAAGGGCTGTGACCAAGCTAGCCATTGAGGCCCAAGAAAACTTCCACAGCCTTAAGTTAGGGTTCTACAGCACTGGAAAGAGGGAGGGAGGACCAAGGTGTAGGAGAGGATTTTGATAAAAGTGTGTCTTGTGTCCATGGGTTTGCTAGTTCAGCCTTGCTGCTGGTAGTGTGGGAGGTGGGGCAGGGATGCTGAGTGAGTTCAGGGTCAGTAAGCATTAGTTCTTGGATTTTGTTTTGTTCTGGTTTTTTCGTTATGTTCTTTGGTCGCCAGGAATCTTAGACCATGAAAAGAGCTGAAATTGCTTTATCTTAAGTGCATAGTTTGTGTTCCGGAGAGCTTTGAGAGGTCATGAGAATCAGAGGAATTCTAATTCATTGTTTTGGTGCTCACCTGACCCAGAAGTGACTTTCACAATATTTTAACACCAACTTCAATGGCCTGTCCCAAAGAGACTATAGACAACGTTTGTTTGCTTTCTTATTTGTTATTATTCCTTAAGAGGTAATGAAATCTTAGTCATGGACATTTTAGCTGTCATTCTTTGAGGATTACATGAGGATACTGAGAGTTCAATTGCTTTTCTGTACATATTATTAACTGTGATGGCTTGAGAGAAACAGTGAGAAGACTGAATGAAAAGACTAAAATAACTCCTTTACTTTGAAAACTTTTTAACTCTTATGTTTTGAAAAGAAATTTATTAAGAAATGGATTCTTGAGAAGATACTTTAATTGGCATTTTGAGAGAGTTGAATGGCGGGCCTCTTCTAGAATGAAGAAGTTAGTACCAGTGGTTAGAAGAGACACTGAATATGATTGTTGCCACAGCAGATTCATTTTCAGTAATTATTTGAACATTTTTATTATTTGTTTTGTAGTTCATAAATTGTGTAGAGCATAGACCTAAGATTTATTTAAATCAAAGTTATTGGGGAAAGGGTGCAGATTATGCCAAAGGAGAGGAGCAAAAGTCCATGGGAAAAGAGTTTTCTCCAATTTATGTAACAAAGTTTTTCCTAAATTGGAGTAGGGGCTCAGAGATGAGGGATTAATTAATGCAAGAAATGATGCAGTTTTAATAATTGGTGAAAAAAAATCAGAATACATGCTCATTATTTCCCTAGAACTTAGAATATAAATGAGGTTATTTAATCAAATCCTCCCATTTTATACATAAGGAAAATGAGACCTAGAAATGTTAAGCAATTTGTCAATGTTCTCACAGTTATTAAAGGTCAGAGGTCAGGTTCCATGGTGTCAATTTGACTCCAAAGCTAGTACTCTTTCCACTGAGCTACACTATAACATTTGAACTCTAATGGAGTCAGAAAAGCTTTGACTAGAGTACTGGGTCTGGATTCCAGAAAGACTGAGTTCAAATCATGCCTCAGACACTTATTTCCCAGCTGCACAACCTGGTAAAGTCATTTAACCAGTTTGTCTCTACAACTCAGAGTTGCTGTGGGGATAAAATGACAAAATACTCTCAAAGCATTTTCCAAACCTCAAAAAAAAGTAAATGAGAGGTATTATTGCTTATTGGTGTTGTAGTTATTGTGATTGTTGTAATAGATATAAAATCGTACTTAAACTAATATTTGAATTGCAAGTTCAGATCCCATCTGGAGTGAGGGAAACCATCGTGCATTTGAACTTAATTTCCTCTGTTTCCAAAATTTTGCCTGAGCCAGTGGCCAGATCATCTAAGTCAATACTATGATAAGAGGGAACATTAGAGAAATAAAAATCATAAGAAATAAGAAGCCCTGACATGATGGCTAGCTAGTTAGCGTTTGTGTGCTCATCAAGGGTGGCAAAACACTTTACAAACATTATTTCATCTGATCCTCAAAAACACTCCATGAGGCAGGTGCTTTTAGGGTCTTCATTTTACAGATGAGAAAGGTTAAGTGATTTCACCTGAGTCACACAGCTGGTAAGAGTCGGAGGCCAGATGTATGTTCAGGTCTCCCTTACTCCAACTAGCACACTGTATGCAGCTCTGCTTTCTAACGCTTACTGGCATCCCAGGTTTACAAAGCAGTTAACATATGCTGTGCCATGTAATGCTCACAACCATCCTGTGAGATAAGTAGGCTGGGCCTGGCTATCCCGAATTTACGTGAAAGGAAACTGAGGTTCAGAAAAGGTAAGGCTTTTGTGGCATAGATAGGAAGCCTCAAAGACAGGATTTGCATTCCTAGCTCTTCTGACTCCCAATCCAAAAGTCTTTTTTTTTTTTAACAATACACTGAACCAGGAAGCTTTAAAATAAGAGTTTGGTGGTAGAGGAAGGAGCAATTATGAAGCAGTTTCTGATTTTGTGGGCCACCGGGATCAGAAAAGGATGCAGAATCTTTGAGATCAGAGTAAGTTCCTCGAAAAATGGCTCGCTGACAGGGAAGCAGGGTAGAAAGGAGGTATTTTCTTCAATGACCAGGGTGCTGGAGGAGCAAACAGAGAGGTCAAAGAGCAAAGGTGATGGAGCCCAGACTACTGGAGGCAGAATCACGGTATGTCATCAGGTAAAAGCAGCAGAAAATTCCAAAGGTCGAGAATCTTCATTCACGGAGGATGGGAGAGGATACAGTTTTGTGCTACCATCTCCATTTCTTCTTCTTCTCTTGTCTTATCTTCTAGGGACCCTATTTCCCAGTATTCATAGGCTTCAACAGGCTAGGCTTGGTACAGCCAAAGAAAAATATGATCTACTGACCTTTTTGCTGATGTTATTGTGAGCAAATACTGGGATAATCAGGTTGTTGTGAAAAATGAGAAAGCAGATGTGATTAGTCCATGGCCAAGGCTGAAGGCAACTATTAACAAGGAACTCCAGAAAATAGAGTCGCTTTGCTCTATGTTTCATTGAGAAACAGCCAGTAATGGAAGGAACCTTCCCTGGGGATGGGAAAGCATTTGTTTTATATGAAACTGTCAGGTTGGCTTCCAGGCAATGCACTGGTGTCAGAAACTGTGCTTCGAAGCATTGCCTCTCCTAAGGAGGTCTTAGCACCTGGGTTCTCTGGTACGTAGGGTGGAGGAGGCATGACAAGAGTGATCTATAAAACAAATGGAAACTGTATTCATGAGTCATCCAAGGGTGCAGAAAGAGAAATGAAGCAATTGTCAGGGCACAAAATCTCCAGGGACATCCCTTTTATGCAAAGGGCTGACCCTGGCTAAAAGCAACTTGGAAGGAAGGTGTTGTAATGGCACTGGCTGGCCAACTTCTCATGTACACTTATTCTTCTAATTCACTCTCAACACTGTTCTCTCTTCCCACCACCTTTCTGGCTTATGGCATCCTTCCCTTTAAGACCTCACACTCAATCTGCAAAATCACTGTTGAGTGGGCTGCTCTCCGAATTCTCCAAAGAGGAGGCAGAGAGAGAGTGATCCTGTAATGGCCTCCTTTATTTATGCTGAATACAAAAATATGACACAGAACCAGAAAGCCCAAGATAACCAAACTAACCAATGAGACTTAAAGATACGCCCTCAATCTAGTTGGGTCATATCCGGCCATGCCTGGAAAGGTGCCGCTCTACTCATCTTAAGTAGGTTGTCAATGGATCTGCCTCATACCCTTTCTAGGTAGATATAATATCCCAGATAGAGACTCACTAAGTTGTGAAATCATCAAAATGACCAAAGCACTCCCTTGGCCAATTTCTATGCCTTCTCTTTGGGGCCAAGGTGGGAAAACAAAATGTTCCCTCAGTCTTTATTCTTAACTGGGATACGATATCTGCCTAGTTGTGATGTGAATGGTGCAGTCTCGGTCAAGTAGTGGTGGTGAGGGAGAAAGGGTGCACCTCTTAGTGCCTGAGGATTCTTGCCATCCTCACTGGTGGCCCCAGGGGATGATTGGTCTCTGACACTGGATATGATACTTAGGGGTATGGAAGCAGAGACGCACAAACATCCCCTGTGAAGGTAGGCTGTCCTCTCACTAATCCTTGAGAGGCCCCACTTACTGATCGTTCCAGGAGAAGCCCTATGGCACAGTCCCCCCAAAGTAACAGAGACACCACATGATGCCAGCTACTCACCGAACTCTGACTGCAGCAGGTGGCTTTGCAGCCAAAACTTGATATTGCAAGGGAGATGGCAAGTTCCAGAATAGCTAGGATCAGCAGTATCACATTGATTCCCTGCAAAGAGGGACCAAAGAGAGAATGCTGAGAGGTGGACACAAACTCTACTTCAAACAACTCAGGAGGAAAAAAAGGGAAAGGGCAGATTAAAGTACACAAGACAGGAGGAAGGGGACTGTCTTGAAACAAAACCTAAGACGCATGAAAAGCTCTTCATAAACCTTAAAATGCAATATGAATGTAAGTTCTCATTACTAGTAGCAAAAATAACGTCACAATTTAAGACCCACAAAACACTTTCCTCACAACAATCTTGTGTCACATATTGTGCAAGGATGATTACCCCTTTTTGCATATCAGCAAACTGAGTCTCAGAAAAGTGCCCTGCCTATGGTCACACAAGTTTTCTTCTCTTGCGCTCTATCCCATACGTGAGCTAGGCTGGCATCCATCTGAGTACACCATGGGTGCTCAACACAGGAATGTTTGATAAAGGAAAACCTAAACCCTCTAGAAGAAGACAGAATTCTGACCAGGGGTCAATTTCTATGTCTGTTTTCTTTGAAGATTTGGTGGCTCAGGGGTGTTCTGTCGATTGGGGCGGTCTCTCATCCCACAACGGTGTCTGTAGCCATCAGTCAGAGGCCCAATCCTCAGTGTGAATTTAAAAGTTTATCATCCACCAGGAGGGTGGGAGGGGAGGGGTGGGGAGCAAAAGCATTTGGTAGAGGAGCTCTTTCTTGCTGAGCTTGCTTCTCATTTGTAGTTCTTGCCTCAATAGTCCAATGATGTTCTCACTGCATTCGTTCTTCTTTTCTAACCTCCATCCAGGCTAACTTTTGACATTCTCTATCTCCCATCCTTCCCTGCTTTCTCCCATACTGACTACAGACCAGGAATAGGCTCATGTTTATCTACTGGTTCTTGTGTTCCTTCCAAATTCTTCTCAGTCGCTTTCTGTCCTTAAAGACTTTCTTGACACCACTCTCTCCTTCAGTCAAAAGTGGATTTTCTCTCTTCAAACATTTCCTGAAGCTCTCCTTCACATTTACCTTGTCCTTTTCTATCACAGATCGTTTTTCCTCTTACCTGTCCTTTCCCAAAGAATAAATGAGACTGTAAGTTCTTTGACAGCAAGAACGATGGCATTTTTTACTATCTTTATACTGCCTGTGCAGAGCATATCACCTCACAAGTAGTGCTAACTGCACACCCAGATACTTATTTGTTGAATTGAATTGAATGGGAATGAGCTGAACTGAATGAAAATGCTAACTGCTTTTTGACCCTTTGGAGTTCTCAGAATTCACATTTCTGACTCTGAAGACAGGAATGACCAGAAATGTTAAGAAATTTCCTCTTGTTTCCCAACTCAAGCAAATTGCTTCTCCTGAAAGTTTCAGAGCTGTGCAGGACACTTGGTGTCTCTGCCCTGGCCTGTAAAGATTGCCCGTTCCAAAGATCCATGGTCAGAACTGGCTCCGGCTTGAAAGTACTCACCGTCAATATAAACATGCCCAAAAGACAGGAATCAGAGGGACTTTCATAGTGACAAAAATAATGGGATGAATCCATCATTGACAAGTTAACTGAGAAAAAGATGATTCCCAGTCCTGCTGCCACCGAGCTTACAGCGTTCATTGCCAGACTGCTTTGGACCTGAAAGCAAGCAAGAACCCATTAATCAGTTAACTCATTAACACATGGTTATGGAGTGCCTACCATGTGTCCAGTCCTGTTTGAGATTGTACATCCGTCAGCAAGAGAAAGATACACCTATGGAACAACTACTATGAGCTAGAGACTTTACAAACTTCTCCGATACAAGGACCAATGGAAAATCTGCTTATTTCCCCAAGTCTTTACAGTCTAGGCAATGCAACATCTGCATTGGGATCCTTTGTTGTTGTTAAGTCATTCCGGTCATGTCGAACTCGTCGTGACCCTGTTTGGGATTTTCTTGGCAAAGATACTGAAGTGGTTTGTCATCTCATTCTCCACCTCATTTAACAGATGAGGAGCTGAGAGAAACAAGGTTGAGTGACTTGTCCAAGGTTACACAGCTAGTAAGTGTCTGAGGCTAACTTTGAACTCTGGAAGATGAGTCTTCCTGACTTCAGGTCAAGCACACTATATACCAAGTCACCACCTAACTGCCCCTTTTAATGTATTTTTACATAAAGATAATTGACGAGGTCATGGGAACTGAAAAGTCAAGAGGTCAATTTTTTATTTCTGCTGGTATGGCTACAGGCTTTCCCAGATAGCAATCTGAATAATGGGGGGGGAAGCCAATAGTGATTCATACCCTCTGTGACCCCAGGTTACAAACCCAGCCATAAGCATCGGTCAGGCAAGCATATTACAGCCCAGCCAAGGGTTGCTGAGGCTGTCTCTCAATGACCTTTCCATTTATCCCTTTTCTTTCCAGAGAGTCAAAAAGAGATAAAAAAAAATTTCCTCTTCTTGAGCTACAAAGAGGAAATGCCACTCACCAGAGTATTTGTGGTTCTTTTCTCTGCAGCAATGGAGAGGGAGCCAGAGATAATGAACTGTGGACAGAAGATGTAACACATGAATGCCTTAAAACTTTCATTTCAGTCCCCATTGTGCTCACCCTTGCCCAGCCAGTCACTGAGATTTGCCTCTGCTATCCTTGAGAACTGATGTCTCTGATGGCACCATTACATGCTCCAGCTTCTTCATAAACATTTGAACAAGGAGCAATTGTCAGGCCTTCCTTCTTTCATAATGGGAATTAACACAGATTGCTCTGAAATGCAAGAAACCATGCCAAAAATGAAAACAAGACTAGTCTCTTATGGCTTATACTCGATGAAAGTTTGAGAAGAAACAAGGCTCTTCAAATGTATTTCTACTTATCTATCTATCTATCTAATCTCTTAATCTATCAATACATATATACGTGTATAAGCATGTATTTGTTTCTGTTTGTATTTTTCTTCATGTGTGTCTCTGAGAGTATAATGAGATTGACAGGAGTGGCTAGGTGGCACAGTGGATAGAGCACTGGCTCTGAAGTCAGGAGGACCTGAGTTCAAATCCAGCCTCAGACCAAACACTTGACAACTTACTAGCTGTGTGACGCTGGGCAAGTCACTGAACCCCAATTGCCTAAAAAGAAAAAAAAATACATATAGTGAGATTGACAAATCATTGTGAGGACCTGAGAGAAAACCTTCTTCTAATTAATATACTGAAAGGACTTGTTTGAAAGTACAACATTGACTGAGATCATGGCATTGTGATTCACTGTTGTTCATTAATCCCTTTACACATAGCTGGTTTCAGTATTAAAGTAACATCTGACAAACTGTTTGGGAAATACTGGAGGATTATATAAGGGTTGCTCCAATCACACCAGGAAGAAGAGAGGATTTTTTGAGTTTCACAACTTAAGGTAGTCAGGAGTCACTAAATACAAAGAGCCCCTGATGTGAGGCATTAGAAGGTATAGGAAAGAGGAGATAAGAAGAAAAATCCAGACAGAGCGGAGCATAGAGGAAGATCAGAAGATTGATGACAGGGCAGACATAGAAATTGCCTAAAGAGGGATGCTGACCATGGTACTTATTACCTATTACCTATTATTTTAAAAAGAAGAGTAGAGGAAACCTCTTGTATGATGGAATCAATTCTGAAGCTTACACCTCGTCAATTCCCCTTAGTCTGGGAACCCTTCCTCCCTCTAATTGGAGAGGGTGGGTATGAGAGCCTCTCCAAGATCATTCTTTCTTATTTAGCTATAGGACTTCATCAGGTCCCCATGCTGGGTACTTTTTCCCCTGCCCCCAATTTTCAGTTTCATTTAATATGCTGTCTTCCCCCATTAAATTATAAGCTACTTGAGAATAGGAACTGTCTTTTCCCTCTCTTTGTGTCCCCAGCTCTCAGCAGAGTAATTAGCACGTGGTAGGCCTTTAGTAAATATTTGCTTGCTGACTGAATCAGAAAATTAGAGCAAATGTTTGCAGGTGGAGTCAACTGAAATAGTCGACCAAAGGCACACATGCTCTATTGGACAAGAGACATTGCTTTGGAGAAAGATAATTGGGGAAAACACAATCCTCTCCTGTTGGGAGAGCACCTGTCATTAAGTGCCATCTACCTCCTAACTGATGGGAAAACTTTCATGATTACCTGTGTTTCCCTGTTGAGTTCTATGTATCTCAAGAGAAGAAGAAAAAAAGCAGGAAACATGAGATTTGCATCTTCATTTCTGTGAGTTATAGGGATATATTTTTCTTTTTTAAAAAGTAACAGTTTGGGGCAGCTAGGTGGCGCAGTGGATAGAGCACCGGCCCTGACGTCAGGAGGACCTGAGTTCACATCTGGTCTCAGACACACAATATTTCCTAGCTGTGTGACTCTGGGCAAGTCACTTAACCCCAATCGCCTCACCCAAAAAAAAATGACTAAAACAAAAAAAAAAAGTAACCATTTCTTAGCCTCCTAATAAGGATAGCTATATGAGAAAAGAACTCCATGTCGTGTCGGTGACCCAAAAGTCAGAGAGAGTTAGGTTTGCATAGTGGAAGAGCTGTGAGGACAAGGAGGGGAGCTGATAAAAGTTCTTCTGCCCAGCAGGTGATGCACGGTACAGACTGTTTCTATAGAATAAGAACATCAGTTTTGATACTATAAAGTTGAGTTGTTTCATATGTGATTTCCTGCTTGGTTTCCCTAGGCATGTGCTCACTCTCTTCAGTGGATAGTGGCACATGTTTATGGGTGGGCTGTTATACTTGATTTCTTTTGCTGAGTAAATGCTTTGATTGTTCCTGCTCTTACCTTCAATTCATTAAATGCAGTGATTACTCTTGCTTTTGCTTTCTTATTTGATAAATGTTTCACACATAAGAATCAATGGTAAGTGATTTTGCACAAACACAGAGCACTTCAGATAGCACTTGAGAGTTCCAATGGAAAATGATAAGGGTGAATCTAACCCTGAACCTGTGTTATGCCTATAACTCTAAATGACTTTGTATGATAGCCACATGGCCACTCTTCTGGGAAAAACATGGCTTTACAGAATGGTGGTAACCTAGGTTTATGAATCAGCCCAGAGGAGCAAGGAAGGTCAGTCCCTCAATCAGGCTACAAAAAAAAGGTGGTTTTTTTTTTAAAAAGAATTCCAATTAATACATCATTTTTTAAGAGAAATGAGCTGCTCTGCTGAGTATATCAATTATTTTAAATTAAGTCACTTGGTTGTCTTAGCATTATTGTAGAATTAACTGAACACTGTACTTTGCATCATAATCCTGACTCACATACAAAATAGTTGCATGCCTTTAGGGAAGGCCATCAACAACTGAATCTCAGTTTTTTCACTTGTAAAATGGGGATGATAATACCTATTCTATGTGCCTTAGAGGGTTCTTGTGATTAAATGGTTTGGAAATCTATAAATCATGAGTCACTGTTATTACTAATCTACAGAGAGTGAAAAGCTCATTTCTCTCCAAATGATCACACGATAACATGGCAAGGTGGAAAGAGTGCTAGCTTTGTCCCTAGGAAAACCAAGGTACAAATTTTAGCTCTGGTGATCAATAGCTCTGGAACCTTCAATAAGTCACTTCACGGCTCTGAACTTGTAAAAAGGGAGAGATAGACTATAATACAGTCCAGCCCTACACCTCTCATCCTATTGGACTTTGAATTGTTGATAATAAAAAATGACTGGGCTTCCATATCATGGACTTGGATACTATTTATCTATCCATCTATCTATCTATCTATCTATCTATCTATCTATTGATAAATCTCATCCCAGTATACTGTATAGAGTAGATTAAAAAATTATAATATGTATAATACTATATATATCATATATTACCACATTTTATGCATTACATATGTCATATAATATATATATAGTATGTCATTTCAATATACAATACATAATATATATTATAATATCAACCCTTCCCTATCCCCACCACTGGAAATTGCAAATGAGAAACCCTAGGCATAAAGGACATGTCGTAGACAGATTCCTTCCTGTCTCCAAGGAACAGAGGGAAAAAATCCATATTTCAGAATTGGTTTCATTAATTCTACTCACAAATGCGGTTCCCCAGAATATGTAGCCAGTATGAAGCAGAAAATATTCATTCACGTAATAAGTTTTCATAGGAACCAAAATGAGAACCATTCCTAAGGTGAAGTTCATCAGGGCGATCATGATCTGGACAGTCTAAAAGGGAAAGAGATTTTCATGAGTACATAAAGGACTTATTCACTTCTCTCTAGAAATGGAGTCAAGGTTCTTTTGCCTTTCCTAAATGTGTTTTTTTTTTTCAGTAGAACTTTACTGGGCATGAGCAAGAGGTCACAGTAACTGGCATGTAGTAGAAGCTTAATAAAAGTTTATTTTTGGCTAATTGATTGATTGTTTGAGATTTCAAGTCAGAGAAAACAGGATCGATCCCCAGCTCTACTCCTTAAAACCTCTAGAACTTTGGACAAGTCCTTTCTTTTGTTGTTCTTCAGTCATTTTGCAGTTGGCCCAACTCTTGGTGATCCTATTTGGGGTTTTCTTGGCAGAGATACTGGAATGCTATGCCATTTCCCTCTTTAGCTCATTTTTACAGATGAGAAAATTGAAGCCAATGATATTAAGTGACTTGCCCAAAGTCACACAGCTAGTAAGTGTCTGAGATCAATTTTTAACTCATGAAGATGAATTTTCCAGATTCCAATTCCAGTGTTCTATCCACTCCACCATCTCACTACCCTACCTCAGTCTGTTTCATCTGTGAAATAGATGGTTGAACCAAAAAATCTCTACAGTCTTATCTAGCTCCAAAATCCTGGAATCATATAAGATCAAGAGAAGCAGAAAAGTATAGTGGATAGAAATCTTGCTGAAGGATCAGGAGGACCTGGGTCGAGGTCCTCCTAACTCTTACATAGACTGATTGTGTTATCCCAGATATATCATTTAACTTCTTACTGACTCCTAAAAACTTTTTAAGATTATAAATGGTAGGTTTGTTACCTAGCTATATTGGTAGATAGAGTTCTTGTAAGTTCCTCCCAGTCAGAAATATATGAATCTAATTTCCCAGGAATAAGGAGTCTGACTCACCCTCAGTACCTTGGGCTCCCCTTTCAAGAATTTCTGCAGGTATGCTTTCGATTCATAAAGTTGCACAGGTGTCCCCATTGGACCCTGTGGGAAGGAAATGGGACCTGGCTGGGGAAAGGATGGCAACATTCCCTTTGGAGTTGTCTTGGAGCTGATGAGGTCACTGGTGTTGCTGTAAAAAAAGAAAAGAAGTCACATGAAATGTGGGTTTAGGGTTCCCTTCCCTTAAAAAAAAAAAAGATGGTGGAATGGTAACCAAAAGAAGCTAACAAAATATTAGGCTACAGTAAGAGGAGTATAGTGTCTGGAACAATGGAGCTGATAAAGCCACAGCCTTCTGCCCTGGTCAAATCACAATTTGGGGTTTTATAGTTTAGGAAGAGCATTGAACTGGAGAGCATGCAGAAAAGGGCCTAGAGACTGTATTATATGAGAGTTGATTGGAAAAAATGAGAATGGTTAGCCTGGAGAAAAGATTTAGGTTGTTGAAAAAAATAAAATGAGGTGATGGACATGAAAGGCCTTGAAAGATACCCATTAAGATGCAAAGGCAAGGGGTCATGTCCTTCATCAGGGAAGATAACACTGCTAAAGTCATCATTATAGGACACATACATTGTTGTTGGGTTTTTTTGAGGAGGGGGAGGTCTAGGCAATGGGGTTAAGCGACTTGCCCAGGGTCACCCAGCTAGTAAGTGTTATGTATCTGAGGCCTGATTTGAACTCAGGTCCTCCTGACTCCAGGACTGGTACTCTATCCACTGCACCATCTAGCTGCTCCTAGGACACATACTTTTAACATTTTTTCCAGCTAAGAATGCGGGCTAGTATGGATCCATATATCCTCTCCAGACACATTCAGTAGGTGACCAAAGGCACATGTACACACAGGCTGGGTTCTGGTCGTAGATCAGAGCAAAGTGAACTGACTCACATGAGGTTTGAGACTGATTGGTATAATATGCATGTCTGTCCCAAACTAAAAATGTACAGTTATCATTTTGACTCAGGTCCAGGGTCCTCAAGAGGCCTTCCACTTTAACCCCCAAAGTTGAGGGAAGTGGAGGTGGAGATGCCTGAATTAAAATGTGAGTGGGTAAGTGGATCTTCAATCCATCCTTCTCCTTCCCAGCTGTCCAAGATGCTTGGACTATGCTCTATCCCATCTAGACATCTATAGGACACCAGGATCTAGGCAGCAAGGACATCTTGCAATTTGTGGCACACTTTATGCACACACTCCCAATCCCCTCTCTTCTCTTACACTAAGGGAACAATAAATAAATCAGGCCTGAAAAGAGTTCAGCAACCAATGGTCCTAAAGCTTCACATGGAGGCAACTTTGATGACTGCCTAGCCCAAAGCACTCTTTCCCTGCTATCTCTTACCTATATGTCTTGTATCACCTCAGGGAATTGGGACTGTCTCAATTTTGAATTTGTCTCCATGAATTTCTCCCCATGAAACACACCTAGAATAGTGCTAAGTTAGGCACATGGTGTACATTTAATAATTTTTTGTTGATTGATTGATTGAGAGGGAACTGATTGAATGAGCCATATAAATGGGGTTATTGATCTTACTTAAAGGTGGATGTGAGAAACAAGCTTTCACAAATCAGCCTATTTCTGACCATGAAAAGTATCCAATCGATAATCTCACCCTTGCTCTGTGCCAAAGACTTGGCACAGAGCCCACAGCTCAAACCTATCTCTCCAAAGTGGACAGACTTCTCCCAACAATGCCCTCATTCTGTCACAGCACTCTATGGGGATTAGGGAGGTCTAGGATGGGGAAAATAAACAGGAAGAAGTGAACTTAACTAGCTAGGAGCCCATTACATTCTGATTCCTTGACTCCATGGAACTTTGAGGGCCTAGTATGAGTCTAGACCTGGGTTCAGCTGCGCCATGAGGAAAGGTGCTGGAGAATACAACCCCTCATTTTCCAAAACTTCTTATCCTACTTAAATTGATTGTTTGAACCCAAACATAGAATTTTACATTTATCCCTCCAAAGCTGCATTATAGATTTGCTTCAATTCTATCTGTCCAATCTTTAGTCATAGCCTGACTCTCTTATACAGAAAGTTTTCTATGTCCCCAAGCTTATTTGTGTCATGTGCAAATTTGAAAGGCAGCTTCTCTAAAGTTTCATCCAAGTCACTGACAACAATTTTAAAGCAACTCAGAATCATATAGTGGCCCAATATCCTGATTTAACCATCAGTTTGCCACATAATTCTCTCACATACACCCACACACAGACACCTGTGCTGACTTTCACCCTCTATTATTTTGCTCAATGAAAAAGTTAGAGGATGTTGATAGCAAAGAGTCCTATTTAATATAGGACTAGTACACTAGGAAACAACTTCCACAAAGCTTAAAATAAGACAAAGTTTATGCAGCGAATTTGCCCTGAGATGGAGCTAAGGGCGTTGGGATTCAATTATAGATTCTCTAATATGCTAAAAGGCAGCAAAATGCAGTGATAAGAGCCTTTGGCTGAATGACAAGAGACCCCTTGGGAAGTTGGCTACAGCATTTAAGTAGAAGTTGCATGACTTCAGCAAATCTATTACTCTTCTCCTGGCCTCTGTATAGAATATTTTCTCCATTTTCATGAGAGAGGCCAAGAGAAGGGGGATGAGTTACCTTCTCTCTATAAAACAGGGAGACAGCTGTTATGGCGAAAAGAACACCAGATTTGGATCCTTTGGGATCTGTATACCAGCTGTAGGATAATTACCATGTCAGTCAAGGAAAGCCACTTAATTTCTCTGGGCCTCGTCTTCTTCCTCTCTAAAATGAGAGGGTTAAACCGGATAAGATTTGCATCCATGGCTCTCTTGTAGCTCCTTCTCCTATACCACATTGAATCAGGAAGTCCTAAAAAGGAAACTTGGGTGATAGAGAAAGAGGAAGCTGCGGAGGGGTGTATGATTTTGTGGGCAGCTATGGGGTCAGAAAAAGATGAAGAAATCTTGAGATTAGCGTAAGTTCCTCTACAAATGGCTCACTGACAGGGCAGCAAGGTGGAGGGGAGAGGTCAGAGGCTAGAGGAGTCGGCAGAGCGGTCGAAGGTCAAAGACGATTTCACTGGAGGTGAAATCACAGTGTATCTTCAGGTGGGAGCAGCAGAACATTCCGGAAGCTGAGGATCCTCATTCATGGAGGGCAGCAAGGGTTCCAGTTTTGTGCCACCGTCCCCATCTCTTACAGGGATCCATAGGATGACTGAGGCAGGTTGCACTTGGCGGGCAGCCACATTAAAACACAATTCACAGACATTTTTACTGATACTGTTGTGAGCAAACACTGACATTATTAAGGGATTGTTATGAGGAAAAAAAAAAAAGAGGAAGTGAGGAATCCATCACCAAAGCTGAAGGGGACTCGTAACAAAGAAATCCAGGAAACCATAATTAATTTGTTTTATTTTTCATCGAGAAACAGCCAGCACAGCAAAGAGCCTTCCCTGAGAACAGGGAAGCATGTGTTCTATATGAAACTATCGGGATGGCTTCCTGGCAAGGCAGTTGTGTCAGCAGCTGGGCTTGGAAGCATGGTCCCTCCTTCGCAGGATTCAGCAGCTGGGTGTTCTGATACATAGGGTGGAGGAGGCATGAAGATAGTGATCTATAAGGCCAACAGAAAGTCCACACATAAGTCACCCAAAGGTGCAGGAATAGAACCGAAGGGATTATAGGGGAAGAACATTTCTAGGGACATCACCTTTATGCTAAGGCCAAAGCCATGGATAAATGAGACAGGAAGGGTGGCATTATGAGGGCACTGGATAACCAATTTCTCATGTCCTCTCATTCTTTGCATTTTCTACTCATCTATCCCTCTGCCCTCTTCTCTTCCTTCCACCTTTCTAGCTTATGACCACCTTCCCCTCAGGTCCTCTCACTCTTTCTCCAAGTTCACTCCTAATAGGGTTACTCTCTAAACTTGCCTAAAATAGGGAGGGAGAGGTAAAAGGCTGACCCCGTCATTTTCTCCTGTATACAGGCTGAATACAAAAATCTGATGGCTGACCAAGAAATCCCAAGATAACCAAACTGTCCCCAATTAATGAGACTTAAGGATATGTCTTCAGTTACCTCTCTTATTCCTGAAAGGACCTACTTCCTGATTCCCGAAGCAGTGGCCTCATTGCACATCCCTACCAAAGTGACCAGGTCACCAGATGGTGTCAGCTACTCACCCCACTCTGGCCACAGCAGCTTGCCTTGCAGCCAAAGCCTGAGATCGTGAGGGAGAGGATCAATTCCAAAATAGTTAGAATCAGAAGAATAAAATTGATTCCCTGGAAGGAGGAACCAAACAGAGAATGGTAAGAGGTGGACACAAGGCCCCACTTCTAACAACTCAGGAAGAAATGAGGTAAAGGGGAGTATTGAGGGGGTAAGACAGGAGGCAAGAAATTGTCCTGAAAGAAAAATTTAAGACACATATTAATCTCTTGGCAAACCTTAAAGTGCAATGTGAATGTTACGTATTATTATTAACAATAATGATAAATCCTATTTCAATGGCATTTTAAGATCCGCATAGCACTTTCCTCACAATAATCCTGTGTGATACATTGTGCAAGTATAACCATCCCCATTTTGCATATCAGCAAACTGAGGCTCAGAAATGCAAATGGCCTGCCTATGATCACATAAGTATTCTTCCTTTGTGTTCCATTCCATACACAAGCTAGGCTAGCATCCATCTGAGTATGTCATCCAAGCTCAGCACAGGTTTATTTGGTAAAGAAAACCCCAAACCCCCTAGAAGGAGACAGAATTCTAACCAGCATTCAATTTCTGTGTCTGTTTTCCTCAGAGATTTGGCGGCTCTGGGTCGCTCAAATCATCAGTAACTGTCCCAGGAGCACCAAGCCCACGATGGTGCCTGCAGTCACCATGCAGAACTGATCCTGACTTCAAAATTTATCATCCACTAAGGAAAGGGGAAGTGAGCAAGGGCACTGTGAGAGGAGCTCTCCCTCCCCAAATTTGCTCCCAATCTCTACTTCCAACTTCATTATATTCTGATCTTTATCTCTTACTGAACTCATTGCTCTTTTCTGATTTCCATCCAGGCTAACTTTAGACACTCTCTATCCCCAAATCTTTCTCTGCTCTCTCCATTGTCTTTTTTTGTTTGTTTGTTTCATTTTTTGAGGCATTTGGAGTTAAGTGACTTGCCCAGGATCACACAGCTAGTAAGTGTCAAGTGTCTGAGGCCAGATTTGAACTCAGGTGCTCCTGACTCCAGAGCCAGCCCACCACCTAGCTGCCCCAAGTTTTCTCCCTTTTCAACGACCTTCCCTGCACCAACCACTAGCCAGGAATAGGTTCCAGTACACCATGTGTTTATCTGTTGAAGTCCTGTTCCTTTCAGATACATCACAGTTGGCATTCACTCCTTAAAGACTGTCTTGACTCACCTCCCCCTTCTTAAGTTAAAAATGGGTTGTCTCTCCTCCAATACCTCCTGAAGCTCTGCTTCACAATTAGCTGGCCTTCTTGTGTCACACACCCAGGGTAGAGTTAACACCTCACGTGGTGATAACATTATTACTGTTGTCGTTTGCTGTTGACGTTACTGTTATTATTTCAACAAAATGATGGGCATGAACTGAATTAAATGGAAATATTAATTGCTTTTTCCCCTTCAGAGTTCTCAGAATTCATATTTCTGACTCAGACAACAGGAATAAGACCAAAAATGTTAAGGAATCTCCTCTTCTTTCCCAACCCAAGGAAACCACCTTCCTTAAAGATTCAGAACTCTGCAAAACCCTTAATGTCTCTGCCCTGGCCTGTAAAGATTGTCAGTTCCAAAGATCCATGATCATAATTGGCCCCAGTTTGGAAGTACTTACCAGTAATAGAGAGTGACCAAAAACACAGACATCATGGTAACCTTCTTGGCGACAGTAATAGTAGTGGGAGTATGCAAACATTGCCAAGCTGATTGATAAAAAGATGATTCCCAGTCCAGCCACCACTGAGCTAACAATGTTCATTGCAAGGCTGCTTTGGATCTGAAAGCACATAAGAATGACCAATCCATTAACACATAATTATGGAGTTGCTACCATGTATTCAGTCTTGTTCAAGACACATATGTGCATCCAACAGCAACAAGAGAAAGATGTATCTATGGAGTGCCAACTGTGTATGCAAGACAGTATGTTGGGCACTGGGGATATAAGGACTAAGGGAAAAAATGCTCAGGTCTCAAAATCCTTCCATTTTACTAAGCAATACAACATGTGTATGGGAATCCTTTCTTTACATAAAGATAATTGAGGAGGTCAAGGGAACTGAAAAATCAAGAGAACAATTTTTATTTCTGCCAGTATGACCGCAGGCTCTACCAGGTAGTAATCTGAGTAATGGGAGAGCAGTCAATAGTGATTCATCCCCTCTGTGACCCTAGGTTACAAACTCAACCGTGTGGCATTGACCAAGCAAGCCTACCATAGCCCAGCCAAGGGTTGCTGAGGCTGTCTCTCAATAATCCTCCTATTTTCCCCTCCCCTTTCAGAGGGCACAAAAAAAAAAAAAAAGATCAGAAATTTCTTGCTCTTGAGCTGCAGAGAAAGAGGGAATGCCACTCACCAGAGTATTTGTGGTTCTGTTCTCTGCAGCAATGGAGAGGGAGCCAGAGATGATGAACTATGGAAGGAACAAGGAACGAATCAATACCCTAAAACTTTTGTTTCTGTCCCTACTGTGCCCACCCTTGCACAGTTACTAAGACCTGCCTCTCCCATCGCTGAGAGCTTGCTGTCTCTGATGGACCCATCATACACTCCAGGAGTCTCCTAAACACTTGGACAAAGAGTGAGTAAAGAAGCCTACCTTCTTTCATGATGAGAATTAGCATAAATCACTCTGAGATCAAGTAACCCTGCTAAAAGGGGAAAAAGCACTAGTCTTCTATAGCTTGGACTTGGTGAAAGTTTGAAGAGAAAGAGAGAGGCAGAGAGGCAGAGACAGAGAGACAGAAAGAGAGTGAGTCAACGATGACTGATTTTGCACAGAGAGCACCCCTAAAAGATCTCAGGAATTCTAGTGGCAAATCATAAAGGTAAATCCACACCTGAACTTAGCTCATAACTAGGACTCAGAATGATTTTGTATGATGACCATGTAACCACTTCTCTGGGAAGACCTGATCTTACAGCATAATGGTGTATTAGGTGTGTGAGGTAGCCCAGAGAGCTATGGGGAATCCATGCCTCTCAGACTACAATTAAGTAAATAAAAGTGTTACACTTATTATATCATTTTTGAAAGGAAATGAACCGCTGATTAGCTGCTCTGGAAAGTGTCTCAAATATTTAAAATTCACCCTAATATTACAGCCAATGAGCAGGGATAGGAGATATAGCTGTGTGTATACATATAGATATGTGCGTATACATATTTGTATATGTACGTATATGTGTGCGAGTATCAACCTTTCCCCAAATCCATCACTGGAAGGGGCAAAAAGGAAACAGTGGGGACAGAGGACATGTTTCTGGGACCCAGGTTCCCACCTGCTTTCTAGGTACAAAGGGAAAAACTCTACATTTCAGAATTAGCTTCATTAATTCTACTCACAAATGCTGTTCCCCAGAATACGTAGCCAGTGTAAAACAGAAAAGTTTCAACTGCGTGAGAATTCATAGAAACCAAAATGAAAACCATTCCCAAGCTGAAGTTCATCAGGGCAATCATAATCTGGATGGCCTAGAAGGGAAAGAAATTCTCATGAGCTCATAGAGGACTGATTCACTTCTCTCTAGAAATGGAGGCAAGTGTCTCCTGCCTTCCTCAAATGGCTTCCTTCCTTTCCAGAATCTTGCTGGGCACTGGCAAGAGCCCATGGTACCTGGTATGTAGTAGAGGCTTAATAAAAGTCTGTAACTGGCTCACTGATTGCTTGGGAGAACTAGAAATAATCCCCAAATCTAACACTTAAAATCCCTAGAAATCGGGACACAGAGCCTTCCTCTCTCGAGATCTCAGTTGCCTCATCTGTAAAATGAACTAGATAAGATCTGTAAGGTCTTGTACAGCTCTAAAATCCTCTAATCATATGAGTGCAATGGAGAGAGAGCTCTCTCAAGGGTCAGCAAGAAATGGTCTGTGACCTTCCTATCTCTTACATATAAGTATTGTCTGTGTGGTACCAGATGCATCATTCAACTTCTAGGTCCCCTGCTCACTTTGTAAGATCACAAATGGATCTGTGCTTGTTGAGAGAATTTCCTTACTGGCACTTCCCTACAACAATGAAATCATAGCTCCAGATTACAAAAAAAAATAGTTTTTTTATTTTAAAATTATTGAGTTAATTTATTTTTTTAAAAAAACTATTTTTTAATTCCAAGATGATGTCTGTTGAGTACTTAGCAAATTCTGAAGCTCTACAAATTTGGATGATTATTCTCAGTAAGGATAATGTGGCATATTGGAAAAGCAGCTGGCATTAAAATCACTGTGATCTGAGTTAAAGGCCTGCCTTTGACACATACTGTCTGTGAGATCCTGGGCCAGTCACTTATCTTCACCATACCCCAAATCCCTTCAGAGTCACTGGCTATGAATATGTCACAGAGCTGGTGCCAGTTTTCATTGATAAAGCATTTCTTCCCATTTGGGAGCATTTTACCCTAATGAGATCACAGGTTTACTCCAAAACCAAAAGAGTGTCCTCTAAAGTAACTTTTGTGGGCCTTGTTGGTGGGTTTTGAAAGTGAACCCTATCTGGAAAACAAGTGTAACTGAGCCCTGCCTGGTGTCAACTCCATGGAACAAGATGCCCCTAGCAGGACCATCACTTCTAGACTCATGCCATGCTGCTAGCTCAAGCCTTCATTGACCCCACCTCCCTCAGCCTCCTTTGGTGGTATTAAAGGTGAGCACCAAACTCCTCCCAGCACCTTCCTTTCTAGAGGGCAAATACTGGACTCTCAGACCACTCCACTTTGCATTGCTGCCCTACCTTGTTTCACTTCCATGGAACAGAGAAGGCCCTTGCCCTGAGATGGTACCTTCTGGTGGCCCAACTCTCCCTCCTATGCTTTCCTGTCTCCTGTTGTGTTTCATCTCTTTCTTTAGATTGTGATCTTTGAATTCATGGATTATTTTCATTTTATGAATTGTGTCCCCAGCGATTAGCACAGTGCCTAGCACATAGTAAGAAGTTAATAAATATTTATTGAATTGAAGTAAGCCTAGGATAACCACTTTTTCTAGTATATGGGCTACTGACATCCCTAAAAGCTAGTTTACCTCTCTGCCCCCAAGTCAGACTGTCAATCAGTAAACATTTATTAAGCATTTACTTAATAATTTAATAAATTTTACTTAATAATTTACTTGCCAGGAAGGGGATAAACAGAAACAGAACTTGATCAAATAGTTATAAAGGATTCATATAATTTCCTTTATGCCAACAGCTGTTTCAAATTGTTTCCTTGGTCTTTTACTGGTCCACCAAGACAAGCCTTTCCAGGATACAAGGATGCGCTAGAGAGACTCCAAATGAGAGAGCCAATTGCTAAATTGTCAGTGTGAGTATTTCTCCTTCAGAAATTGACAATCCCTCCAAATCAGGGCTTGATTTAATGTTTTGTTGATTGTCTAGACTTAATTGATGTAGCAAATAATGTTAACACAGATTAAACCTTAAAATGTGTCCTGCATACATTTTTTTCCACAGAACCTATTATTAAATATTTACACCCCTGACCCTGAACTAAGAAAAGATGAGGGGAGATCAACAGAAGGCCATAGAAATTATATCACATGGATGACATTGCCCCATAAAGAGCTGATCCATTAGATTTAGGACCCCAACTCTGAGAGACATCCTGTTTCTTTGTTCTTCCTCTTCCCAAGTGCCTTTTGCCTTCTTACCCTATTCCCTGCTAGTCATCTTTATATGATGCCATCACAGAGGAAAGAATAGGAAAAAATACAGACTTCACCAGAAAATCCCTTCTTTACTCCCTAGGACAAAAGGAGGAGGCAAGCATTCCAAGTCATCAATTTGTAGATACCCTCTTCACCACCATAGCCAATGGGGACATCTCTCTTTTTCTTCCCCACACCGACTGAATTTAAAGGATTCTAGACTATGGCCACGTAGAGTTGTACAAAGCCCTAGATCCTTTCTAGGTCTAACTATGGCACTGTTTAGAATTGGCCATTCAGGGATCATGCTAACATCCATCTCTAAGACTAAATAAATCTATCCTAAATGCATGGTGCCATTCTGGCCCAACCTGAAATCTACTAAGCCCTGAGAAGGTCACATGGATGAGACAGTCTATAGAATGGAAATAGCACTGAATTTTAAGAAAGGAGAGGTATTCAGATTTTGAGTACTACTCCTCAATTCCTACATATCATCAAGTCATTGAATCTCTCTAGTTTACCCATACATAAAATGAGAGATTTGCCTGAGATGCAAACACTTGAAAGAGTATTGGGATTAGAATCATTTACCTGGGTTAAAACCTTGAGTCTGACTGATAAATGTTGGAGAAGTTGTGGGAAAATTGGAACACTAATGCATTGTTGATGGACTTGTGAAATGATTCAACCATTTTGGAGAGCAATTTGAAACTATGCCCAAAGGGCTATAAAAATGTGCATACCCTTTGACCCAGAAATAGCACTTCTAGGGCTGTATCCCAAAGAGATCATACAAATGCGAAAAAGACCCACAAAAATATTTATAGCAGCTCTTTCTGTGGTGGCAAAGAATTGGAAATTGAGGGAATGCCCATCAATTGGGGAATGGCTGAACAAGCTGTGGTAAATGAATGTAATGGAATACTATTGTGCTGTAAGAAATGATGAGCAAGCACACTTCAGAAAAACCTGGAAAGACTTGTATGGTCTGATGCTGAGTGAAGTGAGCAAAACCAGGAGAACATTGTACACAGTAGCAGCAGCATTGTATGATGACCATCTTTGATAGACTTAGCTCTTCTCAGCAATGCAAGGATCTAAGACATCTCCAGAAGTCTTATGATGGAAAATGCTATCCACATCCAGAGAATGAACTATGGAGTTTGAATGCAGATCAAAGCACACTATTTGCTCTTTTTTTCTCTTCTGCTTTGCTTTGTTTCTTCTCTCTTGTGGTTCCTCCTATTGGTTCTAATTCTTCTTTACAATATGATTAATATGAAGATATGTTTAATAGGAATGTATATGTATAGTCTATACCAGATTGCACATCATCTTGTGGAGGGAGGGGGAGAAAATTTAAAACTCAAATGCTTATGGAAGTGATTGTTGAAAACTAAAAATTAATTAATTAATTAATTAAAAAATAAAATAAAAGGAAGAGGGGGAAAGTTTTATTCCTCACTTGATATTTATTGTCAAAAAATAAAATAAAATAAAATCTTGGGTCTGTTATGTACTATTTCTATGACCTTGGAAGTGCCTCTAACCCTGCCAGAGTCTCAGTTTCCTCAACTCTAAAACAATGTGAGAAGGGTGGACTAAATGATTTTTGAGGTTTATTTCAGATCTCATGGTATCAAAATAGAATTTAATAATTTTAAGGTAATCTAATCATTGCACAAGCATATATTATTCTCTTACTCTTTGCCAGGCATTGTGCTAAGCTCTGCAGATACAAAGGCAAAGTCTTCTGGCTCCCAAATGTACAAACCTGTAAGTCCCTCCTGGCTAAAAACACATGAAGCTGCTCTCACAATGGCTGGGGAACTCTGACTCACCCCCAGCACCTTGGGTTCCCCTTTCAGGAATTTCTGTACGGGTGCTTTCGATTTATAGAATTGCACAGGTGTCCCCATTGGCCCCTGAGAGAAGGAAATGGAACCCGGATGAGGAGAGGAAAAGACCATTCCCTTTGGAGTTTCCTGGGAGTCCATGAGGCCACTGGTGATGCTGTAAGGAAAGAAGAGAAGTCATACAAAACACAGGCTCAGTGCGCCTTCTCCCCCTCCCCCTCCCCCTCCCCTCCCTTTCCCCCCTCCAAAAGGAAGCTGGAATTGTAGCCCAAAAAAGTTAATGTTCTCTTGGGCCACGCTAAAAGAGGAATTCCTGGAATGACAATGTTGATAGTACCACATTCTTCTGCCCAGGTCATATCACTTCTAGATTATTGTGTTCACTTTACAACTGTGTATTTTAAGAAGGGCCTGAAAAACTGGAAAGCATGCAAGAGACGGCAACCAGGATGGGTAAGAACTTAGAGACTATGCCATATTATGGTTGATTGGGGAAAAATAAGAATGGTTAGCATGGAAAGAAGATTTAGTTTGTTGAAAGGACAAAATGAGGAAGAGGATGTGAAAGACCTTGAAAGACATGCAAAGAGATCTAAAGAGCACAGGGGAAGATAGCACACTTGAATCACCATTACAGGGCACATACTATGAACATTCTTTTTTCCAGCTGGGGGTATGGACTTGCATGAATCCATGCATCCTCTCCAGCCTCACCCTGGATATTACCAAAGACACATGGACAAGGGGTTGAGTTCTGTTCATAGGTCAGAGCAAAGTGAACTGTCTCACATGAGGTTTGAGACTGATGGGTACTATGTATATATGTGCCCCAAACTAGAAGGGCTCAGCTATCACTCTAACTCAGGTCCAGTGTTCTATAGAGACTTTGAATGTTACCCCAAAGATCTTCAAGGGAAGTAGGGCTAAAAAGTTACTCCCAACTTTGGGAACTCCCTTCCCTTGGATGAAGATGCCTGGATTGTAAGGTGGATGGGTGAGTGAATCTTCAATTCATCTTTCTCTTTCTAGCAGACCCAGATAGCTATAATATGCTACATCCCATCTAGGTATCTACTAAGACACAAGGGTCTATGTAGCAAGGACAACTTTGCCATCTACAAGATACTACATGCCTGCTCTCCTATCCCCTCTGTTCACTTATGCTCGGGGACAATAATCAAATCAGTGTTACCACTTACTGGTCCTGAAAAGGGCACAGCATCTTACAGTCGCATAGATCCACTCACAAACCCATGACCATTGAATCCTAAGCACTCTTTCTCTGCCCCCACTTGCCTAAATATCTTGATTCCCCTAGGACAGTTGGGAATGTCTCAATATTTTTAAAATCTTTTCCCCTTATATAACATACCTACAACAGTGTTAAGCACCTAGAGACTACTTAATAATTTTTTTTTGGCAAGGCAATCAGGGTTAAGTGACTTGCCCAGGGTCACACAGCTAGTGTCAAGTGTCTGAGGTCAGATTTGAACTCAGGTTCTCCTTATTGCAGGGCTGGAGCTCTATCCACTGCATCAACCTAGCTGCCCCCACTTAATTAATTCTTGTTGATTGCTTGATCAAGAGGGAACTGATTAATGCAAACATTTGAGATTATTAGTTTTCCTTAAAGGTTGCTGTAAGGAATCAGATTTTACAAATCACCCTATCCTGACCATGAAAATGATCTAGTCAATAATCCCGTCCTCACCCTGTGCCAGGAGTAGGCAGGGCACAGAGCTCACAGATCAGACCTGTTACTCCAAGGCAGAAGCAGAACAGGCTTGTCCCAATAACCTCCTTAAAGTGACAGGACTCTCTGAGGGGAGTGGGAAAGCCTAAGAGGATGAAAATACATAGGAAGAAACAGGCTTGACTAGCTACAGTCCATACTATTCTGATGCTTTGACTCCACAGAGCCTTTTCTAAGGACCTAATATGAGTCCAGGCCTGGGTTCATCTGTGCCTTGGGGAAACGGGCAAGAGAAGGCAAGCCTCTCATTCCCTAAAGTTTACCTTTGTCTGGGAAGAATAGATGGACTAAATAAGAGAATTTATAAAAGAAGAAATCTAGGAACTGCCTATGGAAAGCTACGGTAAGGTAATCCTTTGGGAGGTCAGAAATAAAGATTTCTGAGTGGCCAAGAAGCCAAACTTCATGGTCATTGTAGACTTTGAACTGAGCTTAAAATTAATTAATTATTTACATCATAAGAGTAGAAAGGTGCAAAAGGGAGGTTTGGGTTTGAATTTCTCTGGCCTCTGACCCCTAATGTCCCCTCCCTTATGTCCCTCTCAGAGATTACGAGGGCTCAAGATCTGCACTGCAGGAGCGGTCTGACATTAATGCAAAGAAGGGGCTAATGCCCTGTACTAGGAGAACCATCCCTCAAGACATTTTTTCCTTCCCCAGATTAATCCCATCTGCATAATGAAATGTTGTGCTGCCTGTTACCAGAGGAAGGGGGAGATTTCAACCAAGACCATGACCCACCTCTCAGTTCACTGCTGCAAAACTCTCGCCCTTAGGCACAGCTAGGTGGCTCAATGGATAGAGCTCTGGCCTTGGAGTCAGGAAGACCTGAGTTCAAATCTGGCCTCAGACACTTGACACTTACTAGCTGTGTGACTCTGGGCAAGTCACTTAACCCCAATTGCCTCACCAAAAAGCAGGAAAAAAAAAACTCTTATCCTTACTTATACCTGAGAGCCAGGCAATGAGTTCCAGACTGAGAAACTCAAGGCAGGAGTCCCTAGAGAGCACTGAACCATGCCTCTCATACCTAATATCCAGGGCATATCTAGAGACTTCTGGCTGCCTCTGAGCTAGAAGTGTTTGGAAGGCACCAGAGGCTGACTGTCCAGTATGAAGCATCAGGGCCAGCCACTCCCTTCAGAGGATGTCAGCCTGGGCAAAATCAGGGCGGTAAAGCCAAGAGGGTCTCTGCTTACAGCCTCAAAGAACTTTTATCTTCATTCTAATACAAGCAAATCTGCTCTGTCTTGTGAGCCCAGGGGCACAGCTGACTGAAGAGCTCCCTCAGACCCAAAGAGTGGAATATTCCTTCCCATTCAAGACCCCCTTGGATCCCTCCAATCCCCATCTTCCCTGGGTTTTAACTTCACCCAGAAGGAAAGATGGGAACCACCTGGAGTGTTTACCTGTCCAATCTGCCAGCTCTTCCAGGGTTTCCTGGTCTTCAAGTCTCCCTCCTCATACACTGCGTAGTCAATGAATGCAGCTTCACTGAGCAGGAGATCCTCCCCTTTGGTTTCCACTGATTGCTGTCTGCCTGCCTCCCCATGACACATTTCCCTTTGCCCTGCAGCTTTCTGTGCCTTAAAGAATATGCTGATGACAACCACAGCAAGCAGAGTTTCAGAACATGGTGAATTGTTTCATTTCCAACATAGGAAGTAACTAATAATTCCTCTTTTTTCTTAGCAAAAGATATCAGTTCTTTTTTTAATTTTCATTATGAATTTAATAGTTATAAACCATAACAAACGTTTTAAGACACAAAGAAGAATAGGGGAAAGGACTATATAGGAAACCCTAAATAGCTGTCACAGTGGGGTTTTTTTTTATTTTTTTAAGAACTACATTACAGTGGGGCAGCTAGGTGGCACAGTGGATAGAGCACTGGCCCTGGATTCAGGAGGACCTGAGTTCAAATTCGACCTCAGACACATAACACTTACTAGCTGTGTGACCCTAGGCAAGTCACTTAACCCCACTGCCTAGTCAAAAAAAAAAAAAAGAACTATATTACATATGACCTAATTATATGCGTGTGTGAGAGACAAGAGCCAACAAACATGTGAGAGCTTAGTAATATGCCAGGTACTGTGCTCATAGATGGAGATACAAAGAAAATTAAACTCACAGTCCTAACTCTGAAACAGGCTATATTCTAATGGAAGAGGCAACATATAGCTAACTAGAAATATCCAAGATAAATACATTGTAAATGCAAAATAATCTCAGATGTGGAAGTGCTTGGGGGTTTGGGGGTTGAGGGCATTGGACAGAGGACAGGAAAAAGCTTCCTGAAGAGGGTCGAATCCAAGCTGAGACTTAAAGGAAGCCAGAGAAGCCAGGCAGTGGAGATGAGGAAGGAGGGTATTCTCGGTGTGGGTACAGCCAGTGAAAATCAAGGAGCCGGGAGATGGAGCGTGGTATTCCAGGAACAGCAGAAAGGACAGTGAGGACTCAAAGGGAAGCAAAGTGTTAGATGGGGCCGAGTCGTGAAGGACTTTGAATGCCTGACAAACAAGTTTATCTTTGATATTGTAGGTAATAGGGAACCAGTGCAGTTTTTTGAGTTGGGGTCAGATTTGCACTTTATTAAGATCATGTTGGCAGCTGAGCAGAAAATGGATTGGAAATAGATCGATTTTAGAGGTGATTATTCTAATAGCTAAGGAGAAAGATAACGAGGACCTAGACTAGGGTTGCCCAGCTGGAGAGGTTACACGAAGTAGAGATGTTGTGAAGTGAGAAAAAAGGTCTGATGACAAATTGGGTATGTGGGGTAACAGCATCTCATTTGGTCTCCTCATCTATAAAATGGGAGTAATGGTATTCACACTATTTATATTTCTGGGCTGTTGAGAGGCTCCCATGAAAGACACGTGAAAGTTTTAGAAGCATAAAGTATTACATGCAACAGAAGTGCTATGGCTACTGAGAGAATATTTGCCCTAACACCTTCTTATATTGTATGAAATGAAATTGATTTCTTTTTTGGCCCCCAGCTTTTCTCTCTCTCTCAAGAGCTTTTGGGTCATGGTAAAAAAAAAAATGGCTGAGGACTTTATTGAGCCTACCTGGCACCAGTTTAAAGTTATGGGTTTTGAGTTAACTGTACTTGGAAATTCTATATCCCACTTTCCTTCTGGGTATCATATACTATATCCATTGATCCTATTCTCCATTGCACTCCATCCCATGCCTAATAACCACATGAACATGGATGTCTCATGTGAGGCCTTGCCAGTTATCTTGAAATCATTGGAATCCAGTCTTCAGGAATCTCTTTACATAGTTACTATGCTACCCTCTGTTCAGCCAGGAAGAGCTTCTGCCTCCTTAGCACATCCTGAAATCAGAAGTCTTAGCTTCCAATTCTTCCTCTGATGTGTGCTACCTACATGGTCCTAGGTAAGTCACTTCCTCTCCCTCAGGCTCAGTTTCCTCATCCATAAAATGGGAGTGGTAGAATAGCTGGACTCTGAGATGCCCTCTAGATCTAAATCTGTCATGCCATGATTCTGTCATTAAACTGTTCTTCTATTTCTTTGAAATTCTCCATCATAACTTCCTTCCCCTGAAAACTCATCGGGAAATCTCACTATGTTGCAAGATCAAAGCTATCTCTTCTCATCAATTCTCTGTGGCCCTCTGATTGGACCCTGTGACTTGAAAGCAGGACCATGAGCTTTCTGTTTAAAGAGAATACTCAGGGGAAGTTAGGTGACACAGTAGACAGAGCTCTGGCCTTGAAGTCAGAAGAACCTAAGTTCAAATCTGGCCTCACACATGACACCTACTAGCTGTGTAACCCTGGACAAGTCACTTAATCCTGATTGCCTCATCAAAAAAAGCAAAAAGAAAAAAAGAATAAAAAAGGGGGGCAGCTAGGTGGTGCAGTGGATAGAGCAGTGGCCCTGAAGTCAGGGGGACCCGAGTTCAAATTCAGCCTCAGACTAAACACTTGATACTTAATAGCTGTGTGACCTTGGGGCAAGTCACTTAACCCCAGTTGCCAAAAAAAAAAAAAAAGCGAATGCTCAGCCCAGATTTTCTCCCCATTTCCAACCAGCCACATTGCTTTTGGCCTTTGGGGCATTTTACGTCATGCCCCTGCATACCTTCCTCATACAGCTCCTTTTCAGCTTCCTTTTGTATATTCTCTTCTCCCATTAGATCATAAGCACCCTGAGGACAGGGGCTGTCTTTCTTTTTACCTGCTTAGTACAATGTCTGGCACGTAGCAGGTGCTTAATAAATGTTTATTGACCGGCTGACTAAAAGAAATATTCCGATAACCCTTGGTCCCCTGTGTGAATATATTTTCTACACACGGACAAACATTGGTATAGAGAAGTTTTCTGAATTCACGTAGTAGCCTTCCACTACTATGATTAATTTAGGGACTGAAATGTATCCCGTACTAGTCAGGCATGAGAAGATGAATTAAACCTGAAACTTCTCATTAAACTGGTTCCACCAATGCACAACAACGTATAGTCGTAGGGAGTTGCCTGAGGAGCACTATGGAAATGAACGAGCCACTCAGGGTCACACAGCCAATATATGTCAGAGGCAGGGCTTTTACCCCAGTTCTCCTATGCCAAGGCTGTTTATCCACTATACCATGCTATTTCTGTGTAAGACTATAACTTTAGAAAGCAAATATCAATTCCCTAAATACCAAGTTTGAAAAACCCATACATTTTCAATTCAGATGTGTGGTCATCTTTCCCCTGCTTTTCCCCATCCATCATTTTCTCCCACTTTATCCCTACTGAAATTTGATGGAGAATTTTTTAAAATAATGAAATCATCAAGATTTACTTACTCATGCTTACATGTCAAAATATGGGTACCTCTTTCTCATTATTCTGGCAGCTAGATGGTATAGTGGATAGAGTGTGCCACACCTGGAGTCAGGAAGACTCCAGGTCTGGCACCCTATCCGCTATGCCACCTAACTGCCCTGTATGTCCATTAACTGAAGTAATTGTTGTTGTTTGGTCATTTTTTCAGTCACGTCCTACTCTTTGTGACCTCCAACATCTTCTAATTTTGAAGTCAATTTTCTGAACATGAAAATGTGTGCCATTCTTATGTGGGATGAAGATTACATCCCCATCTTCACGTGTTTGTTGTCAAAAATCATCGTTTTTAAGAATGCAATAGCATTAGCTTTGCTCCTTGAGGCTGCGTCTCTCTCCTTGTTCAATTATTATCATGCTGTGGCTGTTTGTTACCCCACACTTCCAACGGCAGATACCTAGTAGTTGCACCCCACCAGATGGCAGCAGAGAGCAGCAGAAGACCCTAAGAATGTGCACTGTTGAGAGCAAGCAGAGAGAAGCATAGAACTGAGTCAAGACTTACAGAAGCTAGGATAACACGCTGAGGCATAGGCAACCTGTAGAGAGAGCAGAATGGCAGAGGAAGGCCAGTTCCATGGAGAAAAAAGCTCCCCTGAATGCAGCTGGTGATGTATCTGGTGACTTTGGAACTCTGAAAGGAGGAGTTATGCCAGCTCCTCGAGTGCCCTGGTTATATGTGCCTCCTGATCTGTGCCCTTCCACGGACCTTCCCTAATAACTGGCACCAACTGTGATTGTCCCCTTCTATTACTGTTACATGGTAACCTGAGGCAGGATGTATCTATATTTGCATAAAGGAAATCTTTCTTGTCATTTATCTCAATAGACTGTGTAATTAATTACGAGCTATCCCCTCCAGTCAGCTGGTAAAATACATATCTGCAGGGCTTCAGAAGCTCTGGTTATGAAAGGATGCTAACACAAACCCCTACTGTATTTTGAATCTGTGATACTAATCAAGGTGGGGAAGGGGGTATATTAAGAGGGAGGTGCTACACAAAAATAAAAGTGGTGCAGATCTTAGAGCAGCTACTAGGCCGTCCAATAGAAAGACTTACAGAGGAAAATCACATTGTCCTGAAAAGATGGTCCACAGTAACCAGATATTCAATAGTGGTATCACACATGGATCAGTCTCTTCAAATTGAATGACAAGGTTCTTGATTCCAATCATTCCCAAACAGTTCTATATCTAAAAGATAATAAAGGGATTTTAGAATAACGTGGGTATGATCTTTAGCTTCCAAGGGGCTATTGCACAAATGTCTGCAGTCCCTCAGTATGTCCCTGCTATGTCTATATTGACTCTTATCAGCAAGGTTCAATAAATACCTCACTGGTACCATAGCTATGGAGATACAGCGGGAAGGAATACAGTCTTTCTGCTGATGAAACTGCTCTCTCTATGCATGCTAAGGGGGATTCTCCTTCCCACATGCAAATACGAAAGGGAAACAGACTCATTTCCTCCAGTCATAACATGGTACGGCACGGAGCGTGAACATTTTACAGATGAGGAAGGTAAGGCAAACAGCAATTAAGTGACTTGCCTAGGATCATATAGCTAGTAAGTGTTTGAGCTCACATTTCCTGACTCCAGACCCAGAACTTTATCCACTGTGCCAAAGTGTTAGAGGCAGGATTTGAACCCAAGTCTTCCTGACTCCTGGTTCAGTTTTCTGTCAACCACACCATCCTTCCGTGTAGGGATTATTATAAACACAGCAGTCTCGTTGCCCTGTGTTCATGCTTTGCCAGGTTGAAGTAGATGGCCTCTGAGCATCTTCCCACCTTTCCCTTCTATGATTCTGCACGAGGCAACCATCGTACTTTAGTTCCACCATTTTGGGGAGAACTAACCTACATTTAGTCCCCTATCATTATTAGCTGATAACTCCTAAGTGTATGTTATCATCCAGATACTGAGAACTCTTAGGTTCATAGAAGCAGAATTGGTAGTTTTGAATCCTTGCTATACCTTGAAATGTCCAATCACTGGTTCATTTGCCATCTTCTCCCCAGAAATGCTGCAGTCTTCTGAGAAAATCCATCATGGTATCCTTGGGCTAATGATAGAGAGGTATACACTTGGTGATCTTATTGGCACAGGAGACTAAATGAAGAGGGCTCAGTTATAGGCTATTTGGTTAGCCCGCTCCTAGGCATGCATAGGCAGCCAGATGGTGCAGGTCTAGAGTCAGAAAGACCTGAGTTCAAATCTGGCCTCAGACACTTACTCACTGTGTGACCCTGGGCAACTCACTTTACCCTGCTTGCCTTAGTTTCCTCATCAGTAAAATGAGGTGAAGCAGTAAATATAGCAAACTATTCCAGTATCTGCCAAGAAAACCCCAAATGGGGTCACAAACAATCAGACATGACTGAAATGACTGAACAACAAGGCATACAAAATGAAAGTTCTTATTTCAGACTATGCATGATTATTCCATGACTGTTTCCTGTCCACATATCTCAAGGTAAAGAAAAGGTTCTTCGATCAACTTCTAAGCCAGAATTAAGTGTGCTTAAAACCCTCAATGACTCACCCTTGTTGTATTTCCTGCCTGCCTGCACTCAATTAAGAAGTTAATAACTGCTCTAATCTTCAGGGTGAAGAAAGAGTTAGCAGCATAGAGTTCTCTCTCTCTCTCTCTCTCTCTCTCTCTCTCTCTCTCTCTCTCTC